CAAACCAGTAACACCCTACAAGTAACCCCTAACCAAACTAGTAACACCGTACAAGTAACCCCAGACCAAACTAGTAACACCCTACAATTTTTGACGTAGAATGTTCGATCTAAGATTTCGCGAAGAAAACGAGCTCAAATTTCTTTGGTTCTCATCGATTTCACTACTTCAAATGTTGTTGATGATCTTAAGGATAATTAATCATATTTTTCACATCTATTTGACATCTAATTTCTACAATTTCGAGCTTTAATTGCAGCAATTTGACAAAGAGGAGAAAGAAAATGGGTGGAGTAGAGATATGGTTGTTGGTGATGTGTGGTTTGGCTTGAACAACAAGCTAAGAAAAGAGGAGAGAGAAGAGTTGTGGTATTTTCTACAAAAAAAAAGAAAAAAAATTGTGGCGGCCACACCGTGTGGCCAGCCACATACAAAAATTTGTGTATATAATTTGAAAGATAGTTTCAAGATCTATCCGACCTTATAATATTTGGATAAAAAATATGACGTACGAAAATAATATCTGATCATCTTTCATTTCGCACTGAACAAGGACTCTAAAAAAGAGGAGTTTTATTCAATTTCAAATTCTTTAATCTTATCTTTTCAAAAAAGATAATTAAGATCTTTTCGAAACTCATAGAAGCTTCTAATAAATCCTAACTAGTTTAGAAATAGGATTAAACCTTGGACCTTCCACATGATCATTGGGTCGTAGATAAAATCCGGTTTGGGCCCAGTGTAGTACTTTGGCCATAAATTCCTCATTATTTATCAGAATTGGGCTTATAATATATCGTTGGAAAGGATTTTTCAAGCCCAATCCAAATACACTATTATTGGACCCATATAATAGATCAAACTAAATTAGAATGCACGTTTTTCATAAATAGGGTAAGAAAAGAAATATTTTCAAAAACAGAAAGAAGAGATATTTTAATAAAAACATCCTCATCACTAGACTTTTCCCACTTTTGCTTTGTTCGATTACAAATAACATGAAATGTATTCATCAATGGGTTTGGTTTTGGGGAGACACATTTGGGTGTCTACACCAGCTTATCATGTTAAGAAAATATTTGTTTATAATCAAGCATTCTTGACTTATGGTTTAGACAACCATGCCATTCAAATAAATTTGCAACTATTGCTCATTGCTTTGAATTTGAGTCTTTCCGTGTGTAAACGGATTGTTTGCTGATTATGAAATACAATAACCATTTATTTGTTCCAGCCTTAGCTTAAAAGGTCTTTAAACAAAGCATATGACCTTACAACTGATGTAGCACCACTCGCTTTATTCTAAGCTTGTAAGTCAATAACTTAGCTTATCTTCAATAGTTTGAGGTCACATTCAAAGCGGAACACTCAAGCAGTATCCGATACTTGTGAAGATAATAACTTTCTAAGTTAACTACAATAACATGAATTCTTTAGTAAAATGGAATCTTATTCCTTTTCTTTGTTCTTCGTTTCCTATATTTCTTATCATACAATATCTCATAACCTTACTTTAAGAACCATTTATTTTAATACCTTGACTTTTATACTTTTTTAGGCATAATTAAGCACCTAGTGCACTGTAAAACAAAGTTCCATCTTTCCCTTTAATTCACGCTTGAATTACTACATCAATGAGTCCTACTCATCTTTGTATTAAGGTAAAAGATATGTTTGTTGTCAATATTGACAATTTGAGTTTGCAACTCAATACTTCATGAAACTACCTAGTATTTGAATACATGATGTCCAACCGTCCTTTCAGACTTATAAAAGTCATTTATGAGAATTGTATTTTTAGAATTGCCTTTCCTTTCTTTGAGAACCATTCTCAAAGATTTCCTGTACCAATCATGGAAAACAATATAGTTTGATTTGGAATTCAACAAATATAAGTGCAAATTATAACCATTTATCAAGTAAATAACATAATAAGTTTGAAAATTAAAAGGTATTCATGCAAATTTTCAATCTTATGAAACGTCTTATCCACGCATTAAATTTGTCCCCATTTGGCGAGAATAAGTCGATTCCATGATCCAAAGAAACAAAGAGTGGTTAAGCATGCTTTTGCTTGTCTTAACACTCAATCTCCTAAGGTAAGCAACACTTTGCTAATGGCTCCAAGCCACTCTTGGTTGAATAAATCGTCGCATCTAATGCTCTCTCAGGAATTTATTCACTTTTCTACAACATGTTAGGACTCCATCACTCATATCGTTGAGTACAACCAAAACCAACTTGCATACCCGACAGTGGCGGATCTGTGTTGGTGCACACTGAGTCACGTGACTCAGCAGCACCAAAAAAATTGATTTTTTTAAAAAAATAAAAATATTAAAGAGACCGCTTATTGTAGAGAGGCGGTCTCTTTGATGCTGCTAACAGAGCTGACGCAGGTTTCCTTTTATAAAAATATCAAAGAGACCCACTATTAAGGTAAGTGGTCTCTTTGATGCTGCTATTGCATTTCACATTTTAGAGCTGCTTTCTTTCTTCATTAAAGAGACCGGTTATACTTAATAACATGTCTCTTAAGTTATCTCATTTTTTTACTTAATAATTATTAATAATTTTTGCTTCTATTTATATTTTTATATCCTATATTTGTGCAACCAATTTTAATATTTTCCCACAAATCTAAGTAAAAAATCATAAAGTTAATGTAATAGTTTTATATTACCATTTGTTTGTAACATGTTATTTGTAATATTTTCAACTTGTAAGATTGAATTTTTAAGTAGTACGGAGTATTTGGTTGTATTATGGATTTTTGTGTCCTATTTTAGATTGAAATCGATTTGGTGAAATATATATTTTTTTATATACATAATTTTTGGATTGAAATTAATTATGAACAAGATTTGGAAAAATTATTTGTACTTTCACAAGTAATCAATAATTGATAGTGACTCACCAACTCGAAAATCCTGGATCCGCCACTGATACCTGTAGGGAATATTTTCAAGCGTTAACCCCTTGCTTGAACCCCACTATGATCATACACTAAAGTACGGTGGCGTCCAAAAGGGAAGAAGATAGAGCAAAAGAGTCGCCAACAAGTTTTAGGAACTTGTAAACCGTTCACAGGGTGAAGGTTACACCCCTTAACGATCCAAGAGATCGTCAACTCCATAAGGTCTAGAACCAAATAAGGGTTTGGGGATGAAGGTACAAATCCAACCTAAAAGAGATTGAACCTGCCCTAATAATAGAACTCTACTTTATTCAGATCGTATTCATGTGCGCTTTCTAATTAACATGCAATCAATAGGTTTACCCTAAACCTATTTATCTATATATGTTGGTTGAATATTAATGCACAAAAAAACTATTATTGGCGATCACTTGAATTATAATCAAATTAACCCTAACAAGATTATTAAATTCTCTTATTAAGCGCGATTACAAATACCAATTCTCTTTAAACATGCATAAAAGGTGTGATCAAGCAATAAATAAATAATAGCATCAAGCAACATAATAATAAAATAATATTATAATCATCATCATAATAATAAATTATAATCAAAATAATAATCATAATAACAATCATGATAATCATAATCATAATAATCATGTTAAAGCATAATAATTGCAAGATCCTAGGCATGATACTAACAAGATTAATAACAAACCCTAGCATGTCACTAAACAATAAAAATTAAATCTTTAGCCCTAACATGATACTAACAATCATAAATATTAGGAAGAATATAAAAGGCATCATAACAATCATATTTAATATTAAAGTTACCCTAGACATGATACTAGGAATATCATAATAACAATTTAAACATGATTTCTACATCATAACATCAATAAATCAATAAAGTACTTACTTTGATGCCTCGTACCTCTTTCTAATAACAAAATACACACGTTAGTAACTTCAAGGAAAATGATAATCAAAAAATTAAATTAAATAATTGAAAGAGAGATTTGGGACCAAACCCTCAGAAATTAAACCTTTCACGTCTAGGGCGAAGGCAACTTCAAATATGGCTAGGTGTTTCTAGATCTTGTGAATGCGGAATTTTAGAAAAGAAGAAAGAGAGAGAAAGAGATGAATGATAGGAGAACGAGAGAATTGATGATTGCGAATGAAAACTGGTTGTAGGTGAATGAAAACGGAGTTTTTAATACGTTATTTATAGAGAAAATCAGCCAAAAAGATAAAATTAACAAAATAGAGCATTGGCGCAACTAAAAAATAGCTGGCGCCAACACCAGCTATTGGCGCCAGGCGCCAACATTAGTGCCAGGCGCCAGACCTAGTGCACTAGTAGAAAAATGTACATTTGCGTCGCCATATTTGCGTTACTCATTCTAAGGAGCGAAGCAAATGTTTTATTTTACCTTCTTTTTAAATTATTTGCGTCGCATATTATTTAAGAAGCGACGCAAAACTCAAGTGCATTTCAGCTTTCTATCATTTGCGTCGCTCCTATTTATTAAAGCGACACAATTAATAAACTTATTTGCGTCACTCATTAGTTAGCAAGCGACGCAAATAAGTGATTAAGTAAATTGTGTCACTCTTTTACTAATGAGCGACGCATATGTACATTGTACAACATTATAAACAAGGTTATTTGCGTCGCTTTTTTATAATAAAGTGACGCAAATAACTCTTTTGGCTTTAGGTTTTTCTGCGTTTTTTACCTTAGTTTTTCATCAAGTACCTACATTCACTATACAAAAAGAAAAAAAAAAAACAAGAGTTCTTAAATTCCAGCGAATTTCTACAGCAAAACACCCACAAATTTGTCTCTGAAATCCAACAAATTCGGCCAAAAACTTGCGTTTCCCCAGCAAATTTAACATCTGAAATCGCAGTGAAGTCGAAGACCCATAATCGGCTGCAAATTCGAGCAATTTCGAGCAAAAATTTAGACCAAAAACCCTAAGAAATTCGAAGCCTTAAACACAGAAAAATTGATTGTTTCCGACCAAAAATCCCCCATTTAAACCCTAAAAGCATACAAATTCGACGCAATATACCCTAAGAAATTCGTCCCATTTCAGTCATAAATAATTTTTGTTCGAATTTTAGTCAAGAAATTACAGCAACAATAGGTTAAGTCAAGAAATTACAGCAACAATAATTGTTCGAATTACGTCTTTTTCTGGGTTCAAGTCAAGAAATTACAGCAACAAAAATTCGAGCAATAACTGAAATTTTCGAGTGGAAAAATCGCTTAATTTCGCCCCAAAAAACCCGAGGAAGTTCAAGCAAATTACAGCAACAACAATTGAAGTTCGATTTCGGCTCGACATTGTTGAATTTTTGAAGTCAATTCCACCTATGGTAAGATTGCTTCTATTTATGTTCAATCTTTTCTTGGTTTAAGGCTTCGAATTCGGGGAAGATTAATGAGTGTGATGAGTAAGCTTAATTTGCAAACTTTGGCTATTCTTACATGATTCATAATTATTGTGTCTCTGCTTGGTAATTTTGCAAACTTTGATTTAAGTTATTACTGCCTTAATCTATTCTAGTCTAGTACAAATGTACATTACTTGATGATTTAAGTTATTACTGCCTTAATTGCAATTAAAAAGTCCATTATGATCTCGGGTTTAGTCATTGAAGCATGCTGAACGAGCACTTCAGTCGAGTGATACATTGTTATGTCTATCTTAGTTGTAATTAGCCTAACAGATGATTAAGGTTTACGTGCTCGCATTTGTAAGCATCGAAAAGTCGGTATCCATCATACATACTGTCATGCAACTTGATTATTGCTGGCATGCTGTTCAACATACCTTAAGAGCATGGTTCAACCCCTGGCCTAAGATCTGCCTTTTGGTCCAAACTTAACTTTTCCGGCAGTTGGAAATTGAACCTTTTATGAACTTGGACCACAACAAGCAATTCAAGAATTAACATGAAAATATAAATATAAATGGAAGTATAAAATGTCAGTGTAATCATTGAAGTGTAGCAAACTTAAAATTTACTGTAATGAAGCTTTAGGTGTCGGCTCCTGTAATGGTCTTCCCATATTCATCAGTTCTGTAAGACCTTTTTGTTTTGCTGGTATTAGAAATTTAGTTTAAACCTTTATTGAAAAGGAGGCAATGTCAGTATTTCTTACTTAACTAATGTTATGACTATTTGGCTAATAATGAAAAATAGTGTAAATGTACTTTTTTAACTAGTGGTTTTTAGTGATGATGGTTTTTAACTTGTTTTTAAACCTAGTATCAAGTTTTCTTATCTGTTAAGCTACTTTTGAAGGCCTAAATCTGGAGAAAAAAACCCAGAATTATTATTATTATTATTTTCAATTTTTTTTTTGTAAGTCTCAAGCATGAACAACTGTCATCTCCGATTCATTAAAATGGAGAATCCGTATGTTCCCTTGTAAATGGTTGAATAAAAGGAAGTTATTGTGAATCAAATGATCATTGATAAAACAATTAATACGTATGAAATTATATAAGGGAATGGTGTTGTATGCATTGCTTTTTATCTTAGTCTAGGGCTACCGGGGTAGATTCTAAAACATTGCTAATTGCAGATCATTTGATCCTTACGCTTAAGTAAAAATTGATATGTACTGTAATACACTTTGGTTATGCATGACATATTCATCCTTTGTTACATTAATTCACTTATGATTCTAGTCTATTAGCCGATTCATCTATATATACTGCTTGGTTAGTTCTCATCTGGAAATATTTTTTTCTTATTGATTTCTAAATTTTGGTTGGTTTAAATCTTGGCAGTACTTGGATGAAAACAAGTCTTTGATTCTGAAGATTGTGGAAAGCCAGAATTCGGGGAAGATTAATAAGTGTGCTGAGTAAGCTTTATTTGCAAACTTTGGCTATTCTTACATGATTCATAATTGTGTCTCTGCTTGGTAATTTTGCAAACTAGTGCGAAATGGTTAGTACTCTAGTTTTTAAGGCAATTGGGTCAGATTAATTATCAATTTTATCATACTGATCCGTTCTTTCATTGTATGGTTAAAGGTGGTATGCAAAACGATTTCTACATCCTGACATTGTGGCACCATATGATTACATATTTATCTGGGACGAAGATTTGGGAGTGGATAATTTTGATTCTGAAAAGTTAGCACCCTTTCTGCATCATATCCTCTAATGTCTTGAGCTATTCAGTACAGAACTTTTGTCTTTTTTTTTTATTGAATTTTCAGATACGTTGATTTGGTTAAGAAACATGGTTTGGAAATTTCACAGCCTAGTGTGGATCCTAATAGTCCGTTTACATGGCAGATGACAAGGAAAAGACATGACAGTGAAGTTCACAAGTAATAACTACTAATGATGTATAATTTATGCCCAGTTATCTTCCTTTGCAACAGAAGCAGGATTTCGATATTAATTACCAAAATATTGATCTGAGTTGTTTCTTGGGTGCACTTTGCAGGAGCACAGAGGAGAAACCAGGATGTTAAATTTCAGTTAAATTGTTCAATTTTTGCTACAAAAATGGAGAATTATTCTTCCAAGAAAATTGAAGTTTCTGCCCTAAACCCCAATTTACAATCAAGAGGTGCTTTGGTTGTATTAGAAGGGTTGGATCGAAGTGGAAAGAGCTCTCAGTGTATTCAGCTTCTCTCTCACTTGCAAAGTATTGGGTGTTCTGTTGAGTTATGGCGGTTTCCGGATCGAAATACTACTGTTGGGCAGATGATCTCTGATTATCTTTCCAATCAATCTAATTTGGATGATCATACTATTCATCTTTAGTTCAGTGCTAATCGTTGGGAGAAAAGGTTGTTTCTTATTTCTTTTTATGATTGTTTTTTTATACATAATTTGTGAGTTGCATACCATGTGTTTGATGTTATGTTTAGCTGAATCTAATTCCTTTCTATGTTGTTATTTATTGGTTAATTTATTTGGTAAGATCTGAGACATGGCTGTTAAACCAAATCTTAGTTTTTTCATTGCTTGCATTAGACTGTAAAATTTTAGTAAGGCTGTAAGGTTAATAGGTTTGACAGTGGTGACTTTATCTTGCATAGTGTCATTATAGTAATGCCTGCAATATTATGTAGTGCAGGTTATACTAATTTTCTTTTACTTAAACATGTTCCAGTTTCTTGCAATGTTCTTTTTATTTTTGTAAATTATGTTTTTTAACTAGATTCTGTGAGATAGTTGCTGTTTCATCAAATTCCGTAATAATGCCATCTAGATTTTCATACGATGCTGAATGATAACAGATGGTTGATGCCTGCTTGCCAATGGAAGAAGTCCAGAAGAAGCTCAGAGAATATGTGCTTGAGTGTGTTGCGGCCTGCAAAAATGGAAGGGCTCTGTCTCACTTCTGGTCATAATAGGCAAGCTGCCATATGCCTCTTGCTCGCTTGGGCGAAATTGTATACTATAGTCAGTAATCAGTAGTTACCACGTTTTGAACTCTAGGTTGAGCTGTTGAGGTACTTCTACCTTTAAGTTTAAGTCTAGAAGTTGGAGTTGTATTATACGTTGATTTGGTTAAGAAACATGGTTTGGAAATTTTATGGGTAGGCCAAGTTACAAAGGAGACTCTGCCGAAATTTACATTTGCATTATTCAATAATATTGCATTTTAATTTCAATTATATTAGCGTTAGCATATTACTTTATACCTAGGAAAACAGGTACTACAAACATATACAAGGCAATTATTATATTATAATTAAAAAAAAATTCACCTCATTTGCGTCACTCATTAAACAAACAAGTGACGCAAATACAGCAGTTTTGTATTGTCTACTCAGTCATTTGCGTCACTCCTATATAAACAAGTGACGCAAATAACAAAAAATAAGTTTATTTATTTTTTGTTATTTGCGTCGCTTGTTTATAAAGGAGCGACGCAAATAACAAAAAAAGTTTATCTGAAGAGTTATTTGCGTCGCTTGTTTATAAAGAGGCGACGGAAATGACTAAAAATAAGTTTATCAGAAAAGTCATTTGCGTCGCTCTTTTATAAAGGAGTGACGCAAATAACCAAAAATAAGTTTATCTGAAGAGTTATTTGCGTCGCTCCTTTATAAAAGAGTGACGCAAATAACAAAAAATAAGTTTGTCAGAAGAGTCATTTGCGTCGCTTATTTATAAAGGAGCGACGCAAATGACAAAAAATAATTTTATCAAAAAAGTCATTTGCGTCGCTCCTTTATAAAGGAGCGACGCAAATGACTCTTATTTGCGCCACGCCTAGGAGCGACGCAAATGACTTAAAAGTCATTTGCGTCGCGAGCAGTTGCGTCGCTCATAGAAGCGACGCAAATACACTATAAATGAGCGACGCAAATGAGCCTTTTTCTACTAGTGTTGCCAGGCGCCAATGCCTGGCGTTAGGCGCTAGTCTTGTTTTTGACACGTTTTCGAAAATCAGATAAGTTTTTCCGTATAGGAGGATAAAATCGTATCTTTTCCTAAAAAATGTTCTTTGATTTTAATTAAAATTCTGAAAAGTCAACAAAAGTCAATTTATCAATGCTAATTGAATTAGGAATGAAAAGAACCTTCTAGAAGAATCTAAAAGACTAAAACCATTCCTATTGCATTAGGAATGATAAATCATATTAGGCCCTCCCCTAGATCATTGGGCCGCATATAAGGCTCAAACCGGGCTCAGTTCAGTAAATTGGCCATAACTTCCTGAATATTCATCGGAATTGGGCTTATAATATATCGTTGGAAAGGTCTTGGAAAGCCCCATCCAACTACACTACTATTGGACCCATATCATGGACCAAACAAAATGGATTGACTGTTTTCATAAAATAAGTTTTCAAAAACAGAGAGAAGAGAAAAGAAATTAAAACTATCCGCAACACTAGACTTTCCACACTTTCGCTTCATTCGATTGTGATTCAACGTGAAAGGTACTCATCACTGGGTTTGGTTTTGGGGAGACACATTTGGGTGTCTACAATACCTGATATGCATGCCTTATGAGTCTAGGGAGTAATAGTGATGCCTCGCTTTGGCGTAGCCCATCACTACTCTCAATAGGTGGATAAGTGTTGTTTTGGAATGGCAGTTTCACTCAATATTTTAGGGACCTAGAGTTTCTATGTTGGTTGATTTAAGTGAACTTAATTAATCAGCACAACATTCAAGATCTTTAATATGCATCTAACATATAATTATATATAAATGATCATACATATGTAAAGAATAATCATTTTTATGCATATTGGTAACTAGCATGACCCCTTGAATTCTTCAAGTCTTCAAAAGGTCTTCTTTTGCAACTTCATGGCTTTCTCTTCCAAGAACCTTCGTCTTCAAGACTTGACCAAAATTATGCAACTACTAGTATCTATGATTAAGACTAGTATAAATATTAAGGTACAAAAATACTCAACGGTACGCAGACCGTATTTAGATTTACAAAAATACATCACGGATTGCAGTCCGTATTTTCTATCCTAATCGGGTCCCACATAGCAACACCAAGTCGAGGCACCTGAGCAGCCTCGGCAGCCCCATGGCTACGTGAGCAGTCTGGCTGGACGAGTGCTTGCTCGGAGCTTCTTCGGCCTTGATTTTGGTGCTCATGCCTCCGGAAAAATCTTGATTTTGTGTCACATATCTAATCAAGTCAAAATTAATTTTAGAATCAAGTAATTTTGAGGAAAAATGAAAATATAACAAGTCCAACTTAAATAAATTCATCCAAGTGCATAAAACCAAAAATTATTCCACGAACCATTCTTAATAAATTGGTTTAACTTGGTGCAACCAAAATAAGAGGGAAATTACTCACTATTAATTTATATTAATCTTGAGATTTTGACAAAATAAAAGGGGGTTGGAAAAATGAACATAAATTCAATAAAAATTCCAACTTTAATACTTGTGAATCCTTGGAAAATTACATCTTTCAATATGAAGATAAACAAATTTGTATCACAAGTTTCAAACTTTATGATTTCGATCAACTTAAAGACGATTAAATCAACAAAGTTCAACAAAAAATTCAAGGAATTTAGTTTAGTAACTCAAATTTTCAATCACTTAACATAATTAAAGATTGAATCTTTAGTACTTAGAAGCCTCAAAGAACAAAAATTTCACACTTAATGCAATTATTTTGCAATTATGTGAAAAATAAAACTAAGCTTTCAAACACAAATTACTACCAAGTAATCATGCCTAAAGTGGTTTAAGATTGCATATAAAATAAAGACTGAACCAATTACATAGTGACCATAAATATGCAATTAATTTTCAAGGTTAGAAAGACTTAAATTTTTTCGTCTAAACGAAAAATCCCTCGAAAAGTGCATTTTTGGTCGTTTTTTTTTTTGCTATAAAAGAGCTCTAAAAGGGTAAAACCATTTCTAGTGCGCCTTTTCCACCCAAAATTCACTATTTTTGGGTGGAAATCTTGGTTCGGGAGCTGAAGTCAGCTCTAATACAGGATTAAAATTAAAAAACTGTGCTATTAATCTAATTAGCAACTTAAAACCAGAAAAATTAAGCCATAAAAACACCTTGAAAAATAATATGATTTTAAAAATACATGAGAGAGGCTCTGATACCGCTGTTGGGGTTTGGAGAGTCCGACTCACCGCGGAAACAAACCATAAAACAAGACCGCACTCACAATGAATAAAACCATAAACATAATTAACTTAATGACAATATTAAGATAATAATCATACCTTTGACGCGTGCTTCGCCCGACCTCGAGGGGCTCTTACTTCGAAAGCTAGCCTTAAAATTACGATGACCTCCAATGGAAGTCCACCCACAACTCGAACACCGACAAGGGTCCAATCACTAGTAGAAAAATAGAAATTGGCACCGAGCAATGGCCACCGGTTTTTAAAAACCAGTGGGAAAAAATAGGGGAAAAAGGAGCGAGATTTTGAGGGAAGAGTATTGCCATCGGTTCAAACCAAACTGGTTGGAAAATATTAATCCCACTAGTTTTGAACCGGTGGCAAAAGTTAAAAAAACAACATAACTAAAAGCCACGCCACTTATAATCCCAGGCCATAACCCTAGCCTTCTTCTCTCTCCCCTCTCCCCTCTCCCCTCTCTCCTCCTTCATTCCTTTGATTTGTCTCTCTCTCCTCTTCCTTATGTCTCCTTCTCTGAGTTCTCTCGTCTCTCTCTTCGATCTCATCTCTCCTTCACTCTTGTCTCCTTCTCGTCCACTCCTCATCTTCTCTCGTCTCTCTCTTCGATCTCCCTTCTCTTGCCCACCACCACCGCTGCTGCACCACCACCAAGGTCGACATCAACTTCAATTTTCTTATTAATGAAGCGTCGTCGGTCGTCCTTCCTCGTCGTTGTTTGGTTCTCGTCTGTTGGTCGTCCTTCCTTTCAAGCTTTCTCGTTAATCAGAAATTTGAGGTTGGTGTTTTTTAGATCTTTAGATTTACGTTTTAGTTCAATTATTCAATTTAGATATGTAATTTCAAAATGGTTGTGGTTTAATTTGATTGTTGGTGGTTGTGGTTTAATTTTGTTGCTGGTGGTTTATGCAGTTTAATTTGGTTGCTGGTGGTTGTGGTGGGTTGTTCCAAATTAGATTTGTAACTTTGAAAT